GGTATGAGCCAACATATATGCTTGTCTGAAGGAGCGTCTTAAAAAAAAAAAAAAAAAAATCCAGCTAGCAAATAAATAAATACGTAAATCCAGGTGGCCTATGTTGACAGGTCCATCCTCCTGCCACAAACTATACCTGCATTTGTTCTCTCTGGGTTTGGGAATCTAGGGTATGAGCCAACATATATGCTTGTCTGAAGGAGCCACTTACCTCTGCATCTTTCTCACTGATTCTTAATTTATTAGCTTTTCTGTGCACCTTAATAAAACCTCTGCTACTGTGAGGCCCTACTGGGGGCCCTTCAACAACTCTGCCCAGGCCTAGGGTCTCCTGGGGCCACAGACATTAAAAAAACCAGAAGCAGCCAACACACCACCCTCTGGACAGCAGAGACCAGTGCAATGCATTCCTTTTATCTTTGCTCCAATCTCCTTCTGTTCCTAGTCTTTCTTCCTCTTCCCATCTCTCTTCTCTCTTCTTCCCTCATCAATTCCCCTTCCCCATCCTAGGCCTTGCTAACCCTCCGACTCCACCAGGACACTTGCCTAACAGAGTCACAACACCAGCCCAAAGAAGCACAAAGAAAGCAGGAAGGCCTCTTACCATTACCCCGACCCACCCATCTGACCACCTTCTCTGTCCCACTCAGGCCTCCTGGGATGGATGTCACCCGCCTACTCCTGGCCACCCTGCTGGTCTTCCTCTGCTTCTTCACTGCCTACAGCCACCTGCCACCTGAGGAGAAGCTCCGAGATGACAGGAGCCTGAGAAGCAACTCCTCTGTGAACCTACTGGACTTCCCTTCTGTCTCTATTGTGGGTAAGTCACCTAGCCTCCGGGCTGTGGCCCAGGAGAGGGGCTGCAGGAAATCAAGCATGCTTCCCAGGGTGCTACCAGGATCCACCGCCATGGACAGCTCCTTCTTGCTCGTTCCACGAAATAATCCTGGGAGAATAGTATCCCTTGACTCATTTGGTTTGGGAAAGCCCTACATGCTACCAATCTAATATGCAGCTTAGCATATGGTAGAGCCTCTGAAAGGCCTGAAGTGAAGACACTTGCTAAACTTTGTTTAATGTAGCATTTCTGAAACTTAATGAATCACAGAACTCCTGTCAACAGTAACAAACTTCAGGAAATGCTCCAGAACATACGCAAGACTAGGATGGACCAGTCCTGTCATGTCAGAGTTGGGAATGATGACTCAGGGGAAAATATGAGGGGCATTGGAGATCTGGTTTGACTTCACCTGATAATAATCATAGGCATACTGTGTGGTAGGCACTGTGAGGCGAGTATGGTCTTTATTTGTATTTCACAGTTGAGGAACTTTAGGCTTAGGAGAGTTAAGTAACTAGCATGGATCACACAGTTTTTAACTGGCAAAGCCAGAATTCAAAATCAGATGCTTAACTCCAGAACCTAAGCTCAAAACTAATATCCCTTACTACCTTGCCTTTTGCTAGGAAAAGAGGATATCTGAGGCTGGGTGAGGTGGCTCATGCCTGTAATCCCAGCACTTTGGGAAGCTGAGGCATGAGGATTGTTTGAGCCTAGGAGTTCAAGACCAGACTGAGTGATATACAGAGACCCTGTCTCTACGGAAAAATTTAAAAACTAGCAAGGCATGGTGGCATGTACCTGTAATCCCAGCACTTTGGTAGGCTAAGGTGGGCAGATCTCTTGAGCTCAGGTGTTCAAGACCAGCCTGGTCAACAGGGTGAAACCCCATCTCTACTAAAAATACAAAAATTAACCAGGCATGGTGGCGTGCGCTTGTAGTCCTAGCTACTTGGGAGGCTGAGGCAGGAGAATCACTTGAGCCCAGGAGTTTGAGCCTACAATGATTGTGAGCCATGATTGTGCCACTGCACTCCAGCCTGGGTGACAGAGTGAGACCCTGTCTCAAAAACAAGCAAACAAAAACTAGACGGGAATGGTGGTGTATGCCTATGGTTCCAGCTATTTGGGAGGCTGAGGCAGGAGGATTGCTTGAGCTCAGGAGGTTGAGACTGTAGTGAGCTGTGATCACACCATTGCACTCCAGCCTGGGTGACAGAGAGACCCCGTCTCAAAAAAGAAATTTTTTAATAAATAAATAAATAAATAATCGGCCAGTCACAGTAGTTCACACCTATAATCCCAGCACTTTGGGAGGCCGAGGTGGGCAGATCACCTGAGGTCAAGAGTTTGAAACCAGCCTGGCCAACATGGCAAAACCCCATCTCTACTAAAAATACAAAAATTAGCCAGGCGTGGTGGTGCACACCTATAATCCCAGCTACTTGGGAGGCTGAGGCAGGAGAATCACTTGAACTCAGGAGACAGAGATTATAGTGAGCTGAGATTGCACCACTGCACTCCAGCCTGGGTGACAGAGTGAGATTCTGTCTCAAAAGAAAAAAAAAAAAAAAGAAGAAGAAGAAAAAGAAAGAAAAGAGGATATTCTACACATATCAGACAGGGAAGTGGAGGAACATCAACATTTATTTCTCTTCAGTGTAACAGACTTTTCACTTTATAAGCAGACTTCATTTATCCTCAAGACAATACTGCAAGGTAGATATTATGGAATCTTTTGTGCAGATGAAAAAACTGAGTCTCATGGAAGATAAGTAAGTTACCCACAGCCACATAGTCATTATATTGGCAGAGTCAGGATTCAAATCAGGTCCTCCTGGCTCCAAAGCTCTGAGGAATGGAAAATAGGAAACACAGGTGCATCTGTGTGCAAGACGGGAGTCCATTTTCTGAGTATCACAATGTTCCTGCACCTGCCACAATGGAGATGAAGGAAGAGGCACTTGGGGTGACTCTGAGTGGCCCAAGCTCACCTAGGTCGAGGGACCAGGCCCCACAAGAGCACCACAGGCAGATCCCAGTGCCTGCTTGGACATCCCATTTGCCTTCCCTCAGAGGACACGTTGCTATCAGTGCCTGGCTCCAGGTCACCATCCGGGCTGACAAGAACCTACTGGCTTGAGTCCTACAGTGTGATTCATCGGGCACGCTGCTTCTCCTCTCCCCCACCTGGCAACTTCCCGAGCCCCTCTGCCCCTCTCACTTCACTGCAACTCAACGTCCTCAGAAACATCTGACTCTCCTCCTTTTGTCTCTCTTTGAAGCACTGAACAAGAAATCCAAACAGATCAGCAGAAAAGAAGCAGAAAAGAAGAGATCTTCTAAGGTAAGGGCAGGGAAGTTCTGGGAGTTCTCACTGTTGGGGTAAGACTGGACTTACAGAAGGAGGACCCCCAAGCTCTGGCTGGGAACTAAATTAGAGATTTTTCAGGCCTATATTAACAAAAGAAACTGAAAGCTACTAAAGACTTCCTGGCTTCAGCTCTGAGCCAGACACCCACAAAAGCCCAGGGAGCTGAAGTCCACTGAGCAAAATAGATTATGAAAAGCAGCTTCCTCTTCTAGTTAGCCCCTGCCTGAAATTTCACCATCACTCATACTTTTGGATGAATGTGGTGTTTTCGAAACCTCATTTCAGAACCACATTTACAACTTTTGCCACATCTGAGTTCCACCTATTTATTTAACACATTTATTTAAAATTAAAACTTAGGCCGGATGCGGTAGCTCACGCCTGTAATCCCAGCACTTTGGGAGGCCAAGATGGGCAGACCAACTGAGGTCAGGAGTTTGAGACTAGCCTGGCCAACATGGCGAAACCCCGTCTCTACTAAAAATACAAAAATTAGCCAGGCGTGGTGGTGGGTACCTGTAATCCCAGCTACTTGGGAGGCTGAGGCAGGAGAATTGCTTGTACCCGGGAGATTGAGGTTGCAGTGAGCCTGAGCCATTGCACTCCAGCCTGGGTGACAAGAGTGAAACTCTGTCTCAAAACAACAACAACAAAAATTAAAACTTAAAAAATACAATTGACTCTTGAACAACATGGGTTTGAACTCATGGGTCCACTTATACATTGATTATTTTATTTATTTTCTCTTTTTTTTTTTTTTGAGATGGAGTCTCGCTCTGTCACCCAGGCTGGAGTGCGGTGGCGCGATCCCAGCTCACTGTAGGCTCCGCCTCCCAGGTTCACGCCATTCTCCTGCCTCAGCCTCCCAGATGCCCACCATCACGCCTGGATAATTTTTTATATATTTAGTAGAGATGGGGTTTCACCATGTTAGCCAGGATGGTCTCAATCTCCTGACCTTGTGATCTGCCCGCCTCAGCCTCCCAGA